AGTGACTGGATGGAAATATTTCACATTAAGGACGTCATCAATCCACTTCATTTAAACATACAAGGAATTTGACTCTGGTGTTTCCTTTGCTCTCAAAATGCTTATACCAAATAAAACACACAAGCATTTAGGCAAAGGCAACAGTTTACAGGAGGAAAATGCATGTTTAGCGACCATGTATGCAGTTTTGATACAGAATTAAAGGGAATCAAAGTTTAGTGCCAAAATAACCTGGTTTAATTTTACTAGAATTCCTGGGAAATAAGAGCTACTTATGTCAACTGAGTACCACTCTGCTTTTTATTTAAGTTGAGATATTCAGCTGACTGTGAAAGTGTTTGTGAAACCTCCTCTTGATCATGAAGGGTGTAACAATTTGATATGTGCGGCAGAGAAGACCTATGAAATGACGGGAATTAACATTTTTGTGCAAGCTAGAAATAAAAAGCAGGAAATAGAATTGTCCATGAAGTGCATCGTATTTAGAATTCCCTGAAATTAACCGTCAGAGCCAGCAGTGAGCTTTGAGTTTCAGAGCTTTACAGTTGACTTTGCTTTTGTGTTGGTTTAACTCTGAACGCTCTGTTTTTCTCAGATTTGCTGACTGTGAGTGAGACGGCCAACGAGCCTCCACAGGATGAAGGAAACTCCTTCAACTCTCCTCGCAACCTGGCGATGGAGGCGACTTACATCAACCACAACTTTAGCCAGCAGTGTTTACGCATGGTGAGATCATTTAATGGTCTGCACGACCTACACAGGCTGTCTGGTAGCCAGGAATCCACAAAATTCACACGTTATTGTCTTGTGAATATACATCATGTTTGTTTTCTTTTTCTTCAGGGTGGAGAGCGGCACAAGTTCCCCAACAGCAACCCATTTGTGGAGGAGGACATGGACAAGAGTGAGGTGGCATCTGTAGCCTACAGGTACGCTCTGGCTTCTTCTGATGTCTGTTAACGTTGAGCTTTTTAATGTAACTTTTATAGCATTTTTTTTATTACAAGCTAAGAAGTATACCCTGTGTGACTCCGTACTAGCGAACATTATTGGATGTAATAAGTGCTCTGTCCCTGGCTGACGGTCTCTCTTCGTGTTTCAGGTACCGTCACTGGAAGCTCGGGGAAGACATCGATCTGATCGTCCGCTGTGAGCACGATGGAGTGATGACCGGAGCCAACGGAGAAGTGTCCTTCGTCAACATCAAGACCCTCAACGAGTGGGACTCCAGGGTAACAAACGGCTCTTTTGGGAGAATTTTATTAGAGCTGAATCAGTTGGTCGATCAGTAATAAAACTATGTGCAGTGACTTTAATTATAAGTTGATTGTTTCATAATTTTTCAAACAAAATAGTGGAAAAAGTCTCTTTTTTTTTTGCAGTATTTAAAAAGAAGATGGATTAAACATTTTATTGATTAATTTAAGAAATAGTCAATAGTTGCAGCCGTCAAGAGCAAAATTAAAAAACATTCATGTCAAACAAATGTGAAGCTCAACATCCAGTGGTTCATATCTGTTCTGCTTGTTTCCATTAGAGGGAGCCATGACTTCAGCAAACCCACATTTTTGATTCTGAACACCCAAACATTTTTTGTTAAAAATCAGTTACCTTTGTTTTGTTTTTTTTTTATTGTTATTTCATTTCTATAAAATGTCAGAAAAATAGCTGCAGGTCTCAAAATACTTTGAGAAAGAGAGCAGTAACTACAAATATCCACATCCAGGATGTCCAGGTCCTGATGTTCTCAAGACTGGAAGATTGAAGTGAAATCTCAGTTTACATGAGATTGTGAAAGTCACAAAAATACATTTAAACCTACAAAAATAACCCACCAAACCATTGTTAGTTTTGTTTTGTGTGTTGTTTTTTTTTTTGTCATATTTTGGTAAATTTTGCTATTAAACCTGACAACCCACTGGACCCAGCTGCTCTTTTTCATTTATCAATATTCCAACCAAGTGCAGTGATTGTGTATAGTCTGTTTCTCTCCAGCGTAAGTTGAATAGTGAGTGATCTGTTAATAAGCAGTTGTTGCTTTGTTCTGTTTCCTCATCAGTACTGTAATGGGGTGGACTGGCGTCAGAAGCTGGACTCCCAGAGAGGAGCCGTCCTGGCCACCGAGCTGAAGAACAACAGCTACAAACTGGCTCGCTGGACCTGCTGCGCCATGTTGGCTGGATCCGAGTACCTCAAACTGGGGTGAGCAGCGAGAACCACTGAATCTGTTTGACTGTTTGTGGAGGGAGTCAGGAGGTGGAGGCCAGATTGAAACCTGAACTTTAGCAAGACGGAGTTTGCATTTAGAGGGTCGCTCAGTTGCCAGTTTATTAGGTGCATCCTCCTACAATGATAGTCCTGCTGTGAATCCTCGCTTCATAAAGGTGTAGGTAAAAATGTTTTAGAGAGATGTGACTGCAGCAGGAATACCTGTCAGCTGATTTGTCATTCACAAAAATGTCTTCTGTGCTTTATTTTGGCTCATGGTGGCAACAGTTTATCTATGCAGGAACAACTGTGGCCTCGATACAAACTGATGTCCGCAAAGTGAATAATCAAGTCAAAACAAAATCAAATCAAGTTTATTGTCATTTTGCTGTACATACAACAGTAGTACAAGCAAGATGAGAGAGCATTTCTTCAAGATCCAAAAACTAAAAGCAATTAAATAAAGACATGTTTACATGTCTGGATCAGCACTTCAGCATTCTGACAGCTTTTGGAATGAAGCTGTTGAAGCTGTTGATCAGTCTGGAGGTTCTTCCTTTCATGCTCCAGAAACGTTTTCCTAATGGCAGCAGTTCAAACAGTTTATGGAGAGAGTGTGAGGAGGCCCTGACAATGTTCAGTGTCCTGCTCCTGCAGCGGCTCTGGAAAAGTTCAGAGCTAGCTGTCTGTGTGTCCGCTTGAAACAATGTCATCTCCTCCAGCTGTATGTCCGTCTGGGATGTTGTCATGGAGCCATGTTTAGGTTAAAACAAACACACAGCAGTCCCTCCACTCTCTGCGGGTTTCTCTCAGCAAACGTAGCTCGTCCAGCTTGTTGTGGAGGGAGCGGACATTGGAGAGTAGGAGTGACGGTCCTGCTGGTCTGGAGGGGTTAGCCTTTAGTCTAGCATTGATCCTGGCTCTCTTCCTCCTCCTTTGTTGCGTTCATACTGTTTGCGCTTCCTTCTCTCTCAGGTAAGTAGTCTCCAATCAGACTCCAGGTTGGTGTAGTTTGTCCAAATCACATCCGAGTGCTGCAACTTTAGCAACGTATATTGCCCTGATGTTCAGCAAAGTCTCTCAGCTGTAAGTTTTGCAGAATGAACGTCTGGGATAGACAAGACACTCAAAACCTTCACTCTCGCTGTCTCCTGAAGGGGCCGCTGCCTCCATGCGCGCTGCCAGCTGTTTTTTCTTGAGATTAATATCAACATTATGCCTGTTTTGAGGAGGAACAGAGACAATAAGCAACAGTTCTGGCAGAGCAGCAGTTTATTAAACGAGCGAAGCTTAGGCTGACTGTCATTACACCACTGTGCACTCTGCAGCTACGTGTCTCGGTACCACGTGAAGGACTCTGCTCGCCACGTCATCCTGGGCACCCAGCAGTTCAAACCCAATGAGTTTGCCAGCCAGATCAACCTGAGCATGGAGAACGCCTGGGGAATCCTCCGCTGCGTCATCGACATCTGCCGCAAGCTGGACGAGGGCAAGTACCTCATCCTGAAGGACCCCAACAAGGTGAGCCGAGACACTAAACACGTTGTACAAAAGAGCCAGCGGTGAGATGTTGGAGCTGACGGGTTGACCCTCTCCATTTGTTGTCAACAGCAAGTGATCCGGGTGTACAGCCTCCCAGATGGGACCTTCAGCTCTGATGAGGAGGAGGAGGAAGAGGAGGATGAAGAGGACGAGGAAGAAGAAGGTGAGATTTAGTTGTGAGCTGCTGCTTTTAACCAGCAGCATGGTGTAGAAACTGTACAGCTGTAATGTGCACTTCATTCCTTTAGAAACAGCAGTTTGTGTTGCTGTTTACTCAGTGTGTACATTGTTCTGAAGTTTTTCCACTTGTCTGGTGGTGAACTTACTAGTCTCATCTGAGAGGGACAGCGTGAAAAAAAGACTGAAAGGGAGCTCTGAGTTTGTTTGCTAACATCTGTTGTTGCAAGAGGTGAAGTCTGATAGCGATCCTGCAGCAGGTGAGCTGGTGGGCAGACGTTTGTTTTGAGCTCAAATTCAGCTATTTCTCCTTAGCTGAAGCTAGCTAGCTTTTTTTTAAAAAAATGTTTTAAACTGAAAAATCTTTGCTCCAGATATGAAATTGTTCAGCCCAGTTCTCCTGATAAATCAGTAAACATACATCATGAAACAAAGCCCCAGGTTTGCATTTACCATCATTTATAGCATGCAAGAAAGGGCTTAGTGTTAGGGTCAAAACAATTTGAAGTTGATAGCAATCAGTTTAAGCACAGACCAGAAATGTCTGCTCACCACTCGATCTCCTGCTTGTTTCCTGACAGGATCACTATCAGCTAAAGAGCCATTTGGATGTCAATACATATTTTATCAGAAATTGTCTTACTAAAAAACACAAAGTCAGTCACTCTAGGTCGTTTTTCCACTGTATTCCTCTCAGATATGACTGTCACTTTCACTTTTAGACAGTTGGATAAATCTGTGGCCAGATGTATAAACACTACGGACAACAACACACACTGATGTTCAGAAAAGAACTACGTGCAGAGGTGAAGCTCCACGTTAATCCTGTTTGCTAAACTGGTTTCTTCTCTCTGTTCTCATTTCAGATGAAGAGAATTAAAGTGTGGGGTCAGCTTCAGTGACCAAAGCAGCCTTCAACATACACACAGAAACACCATTCAAGTTCCTTTTGACAGCTAATAAAGACACCTGATTGGAGGAGTACTTGTAATGGGTCTTTGTTTAATTTCTACAGCATACAAAGTCATACAATACAAAGAAAATGTTCTGTTTTTTGATGCGATTGTAGTGCATCAGAACTCTGAAAGTTGCATGAGAAACCAATCTAGATAGAGATTTCAGCTATGAGCACATCCAGCTTTTCGTTGCTCACAGCCACCTACTGTACGGGAGTATGTAGAACAGGATCCAGCAGTTGGTCCATTTCAGATTCAATGCACGGTTGCTGATCTTCATTATTGTTCACTATTTCATCATCCTAAGGGGCTGCTGAAATTCAACGTTGCTTACAATGAGGAAGAATTCTAAATGTTGGCGTTACGTGCTTTCAGTAGTTAATATGTGTGTGATTATGTACAACAAGGAACACAT